TATCTATCTATCTATCTATCTATCTATCCATCCATTTATCTATTTAGTTCTTCATTCCTTCATTTATTCATTCATCCATTTTTCCATCAATCCACTAACTCCTATTTGTAAGTCCTTTCCCGACAATTAGACACAACTTCATTTGCTCTACTTTCATCCAGTCCTCGGCCAAACAGATCGGCTTCAACGTTGTAGTATACAATACAGGGTCTCTTGATGGAGTGAATGTTTGATGGATGAATGTCCGAATGACTGAATGAATAAATGAATAAATAAACGAATGAACGAATGAGGAAATGGACAAATGAATGAATGAACGAATGAATGAATAAATGAATGAATAAATGAATGGATGAATGAATGAATGAATGAATGAATGAATGAATGAATAAATGAATGGATGGATGAATGAATGAATGAGTGAATGAATGAATGAATGAATGAATGAGTGAATGATTGATAGGTGGATGAAGAAGAAATCGAATAGAGTTCATAAACGATTTAATGAGTGAATTTATTAACAGACGGATTCGCTATATAAAGTATATTCATTCACGCAACACATTCATCAATCACTCTATCCATCCATCAGTCTATCTTTCATTTATTTTTTCATTAATTTATTCATAAAATTAGCATAAATTTGCATTTAAATCAACCTAAGCTCCAATAGAACTACGTCATGGGTGGGTCTAACTTGAAAATAGGTGTTGTTATTGAACATGTGTACATTTGCAACCTTCAAGAGTCTCTCATTGTCATATTTATTCCCGGCAATTTTTATCACAATATCGTTCGGTTTTACTCTGTCGTTTTTGTATATATGTATGTATGCATGTATGTATGTATGTATGTATGTATGTATGTATGTATGTATGTATGTATGTATGTATGTATGTATGCATGTATGCATGTATGCATGTATGTATGTATGTATGTATGTATGTATGTATGTATGTATGTATGTATGTATGTATGTATGTATGTATGTATGTATGTATGTATGTATGTATGTATGTATGTATGTATGTATGTATGTATGTATGTATGTATGTATGTATGTATGTATGCATGTATGTATGTATGTATGTATGTATGTATGTATGTATGTATGTATGTACGTATGTGTGTGTGTGTATGTATGTATGTAAGTATGTGTGTGTGTGTGTGTATGTGTGTGTGTATATGTGTGTGAATGTATGTATGTATGTATTATTATTATTCGAAAATTTGTATAGCGCTAATTACAAACAAAATGTTTCTCAAAAGCACTGTCATACATACATACATGTGTTTTTATGCCATCATCACCATCATCATCATCATCATCATCATCGTGGTCGTCTTCATCGTCAGAACTTACATCCTTGATGTCCCAGTTAAGCAATGAGCTGCAGTTACGACAAATCTCTTATCGATCAGACTTCCGCCACAAACGAAATCACCATTGCCACCACCACCACTACCACCCTCACCATCTTTGCTGATCATTATCATTACGTACCATGGCCACGCCCCTTCAATGGTCTTTACCCCGTTTATTATGTAAGGAGCGTTCTCATTGGCTGCCGAAACGTAAGGGTCTCGTGTTCCGCAGTCTGTGATTGGTTGCCGAATTTTTGTGATAATGATTGGGTAATTATTATTATTATTGTTATTGTATTATTATTATTATTATTATAATTATTCTACCTGCCCCAGTGCAGACAATGTCGATTATTCCTTTATGGCATTTACTGAAGGAATGAGCGAACGAAATGAATGAAATGAATGAATTAATAAATGAATGAAAAATGAACGAACGAATGAATGAATAAATAAACGAATGAATGAATGAATGAATGAATGAATGAATGAATGAATGAATGAATGAATGAATGAATGAATGAATGCACCCAACCAACCAACCTGACATTTTTGAATTCAAACTTGCCACCTTCACTTGCGACTTGGAGGAACAGTGTTTTATTTCGACTTTCACTGAACGGCCCCACAAAAGTCATCAGGGATTTTCTGTAATATATATTTTTAAAAATTATTTTACTTATTCGTTCGTTCGTTCCTTTGTTCGTTCCTTCGTTCGTCCGTCAATTTGTTCGTTCATTCATTCATTCATTCATTCACTCACTCATTCATTCAAACAACCCGTATCCATTATTGATGCAGATGCGATCGGCAACTTGTTCGTTAACGCCGTCCGCACACAGCAAATGTTTTACCTCTCCATCTCGAACTATCTCCATCAGTCCATCCGTTGATTTTGCTGAATGAATGAATGAATGAATGAATGGATGGATGAATAAATGTATATGAATGAATAAATGAATATGAATGAATAAATGAATATGAATGAATAAATGAATATGAATGAATAAATGAATATGAATGAATAAATGAATATGAATGAATAAATGAATATGAATGAATAAATGAATATGAATGAATAAATGAATATGAATGAATAAATGAATATGAATGAATAAATGAATATGAATGAATAAATGAATATGAATGAATAAATGAATATGAATGAATAAATGAATATGAATGAATAAATGAATATGAATGAATAAATGAATATGAATGAATAAATGAATATGAATGAATAAATGAATATGAATGAATAAATGAATATGAATGAATAAATGAATATGAATGAATAGATGAATATGAATGAATAAATGAATATGAATGAATAGATGAATATGAATGAATAAATGAATATGAATGAATAAATGAATATGAATGAATAAATGAATATGAATGAATAAATGAATATGAATGAATAAATGAATATGAATGAATAAATGAATATGAATGAATAAATGAATGCATAAACAAAAAAGATGAATGGATGATTGAAAATGATTGTACGTAAAGCTTTATTTGCTAATTAAATTTGAAATTCTACCCTTTTTTAATCGTTTTTACCGACCAATCAGAGAGCATCTTACCCATGACCCAATCCAATCAAATTTCATATTAATTTTTTTTCAGCCAATCACAGAGGACCAACCGCATCTGAGCTCGTCTGATTCGTCGCCTACACAATCGACATGACCATCGCAAACTCTTTCATTGCTGATGCATTCTTTTGATTGGGTGCAGATCATACCGCCAGTGCAGTTCGCTATGATGATGATGATGATGATAATGCTAATAATAATAATAATAATAATGATTATTAATATTAAAATTATTATAACAATAATAACTTTTTCAAATCTAGCAAACAATCTAAAAAGATACAAAATAATGAAAAGATAACAGGAAATTGTTTCCCTCTCGGGCTTAGAGACGACTCACGGCATTGTGGTACTTTTTCGTCATCGCCATGTTTGCAGTCCAAAACGCCGTCACATTTGAAGGTCAAGGATATGCAACGACCTTGCCGACATTGGTACTCAAAGTCACTACAGGCTAGTTGGTCATTATCATAATTTATTAATACTATCACAGATACGGTCACAGTTATCATATAATCTGTGTAATTGACTTTGTCTGTAACGTTTTGTTGCCAATCAGACCGTCGTCATCATCATCTGCTTCTTCTTCATCATCATCACCATCTTCATCCTCATCATCTTTGACATCATCATCATCTTCATCATCATTATCATTACCACCATCATCATCATCATCATTTTTGACTTCATCATCATCTTCATCTTTGACATCATCATCACCATTTTATCATCATCACCATCTTTATCATCATCATCATCATCTTTATCATCATCATCACCATCTT